CAACACTGCAGTATCCATGGCCTTGCTGGCAATATGTTCATCTTATAGTATGACCGAGTCAGGACGGAAGACAAATGGAAATGATGACGTATAGATTAGTGCAATCCCCACCTGAGTTATCCGTCTGAATGTCTATGCCGTACTCCGGGCTGCCATGACCCTGCCAGTGTTCCGTATGCTGCAGCGTATATGCCTCAAAGTTCACATGCAGAGCAGAAATAAATCCCTTGAAACCTGAAACAGAAACAGTACTCAAACGTGAATCAGATATCATATGTAATCAGAAGGGATAAATCGCATCGCGTCATTCTAACCCTACATTTCCTCTCACTTTCCTCCTCTCTCTATCTCTCTCGCTCTCTCTCTCTCTCTCTCTCTCTCTCTCTCTCTCTCTCTCTCTCTCTCTCTCTCTCTCTCTCTCTTCTTGGCCTCTCTCTCGCACACTCACTCTGTCTTTCTCTTCTTGGCCTCTCTCTCTCTCACTCTCCTCTCTCTCTCTCTCCATCTCCCCCCTCTCTCTCTCTCACTCTCCTCTCTCTCACTCTCTCCTCTCTCTCTCACTCTCCTCTCTGTCTCTCTTCCTCCCCCTTCTCTCTCTTCTCGGCCTCTCTCTCTCTCCCTCTCCCCCCTCTCTCTCTCACTCTCCTCTCTCTCACTCTCTCTCTTCTCGGTCTCTCTCTCTCTCTCTCTCTCTCTCTCACTCTCCCCCTCTCTCTCGCTCTCTCCCCTCCCTCTCTCTCTCTCGTGTGAAGACACAGACCTGGATGATCAGACTTTGTGACTTCTGGCTCTCCCTTCGAGCCGATCATCATTGGCTGGTCGTAATCGACATCATCAGGAACAACACCCGTGAAGTTCATGACGAAACCTTGCAAGTCGTTCAGCCGGACGATGGCCGCCTGTCCGGCGATCGTCAGAAGCACGGTGTGCCACCTGGCGGGCTGAAAGTGAAGTAAATTCACCGAGCTATATACGGGTGCCCCATATGCATCTATAATAAAGCACTTTGTCAGGAATGTGGTAGGACAGAAACGATTCACACAACTATATGAATGCATTTCCTATAGCAATATAGCTAAATAGATAAATAAATATAGATAGATCGATCGATAGATGGATGGATGGATCGAT